TCCTCACCAAAAATCAATTAATACAAAACCAGCACATCGTATAATTCACTTTGAAGTAAATATTCTCATATAAGTATGATTTAATTTCAAGTAAATACCTGGTATTAAAAATTATAAATCACTTTAGTAAGTTGATGGCTTAATATTAAAAAAAGTTGCAACATTTTATTTTCTAGACTGAGACAAATCTGGTACATGTTGGAGTCTATCCTAGGAAGCTGTTTCTATTTTATGTGCTACAAATAAACTAGAGCAAACTCTGCAGCTTCTTTTTTTGGGTTTTGTTTTGTTTTGTTTTGTTTTGTTTTGTTTTTTGTTTAGACCAGGTGTTGCTGTCACGGCTGTTAAACCTAATGCCTCCTTTTCACCTGAATTTTAAACATCTCTCCACAAGGATGTAAAAAAAATTATTTAATTTCTTTACTTTTTACTGTAAGTATTTTGAAGCAGCCCTGTTTTTGATCGAAACTGATGTCTCAGTTGGAAAATCTACACTTTATTTCCTAAGTGAGGTTCTATACATTGAAGAAAAATGAAATGCCAGCTGTGAGTGTGATATATACATGTTTTATGAAGTTTATGAGTATTTGAAAATTTGGATTCTTTTTGTCAGATTCCAATGTCACTTAATAATGGTCTCAAACTGAATTCTGCTATTAAGGGAATTTGCAATTTTAGCATAACTAGAGTAAATATACATATTTTTTAAAGTGTGTTTCTGCACATGTCATTCATGATTAAATGTGTACATGCCTTTTTATGTTCATCTCTTAGTCTTAATTCTCTGTAATCGTATAATTCATCATATGCATACAGAAACATAATTCTCCCATGAGGATTAAGTGACAGAAGAGCCAAATAGTGTGAATAGTGTTGCTTTACACTGGCTTGTAATTTGAAGTCATGGTGCCATTTAACAAGTGGAGAAGTGATTAATATAACATAATTTAGGTACTTGGAAAATGAATGGAATAGTGAGGAGAAATTCTATTCATTTTAATGATGTATACTGATAGCATCATATAAAAAACATATTCTAGTAAAAGTTTAAGTCTGAACAGGATGTTAATAAGGTAAGTCATCCATGGGACTTTAAAACTTCTTCATTAAAATGAATAGGTCTCTGTCATGGTTGTAGCTAGCCTGTAGATGCTAAATTATTTTGGCCATATCAGACCCCAAACTCAACATAGCCTAGAAGTAAAAGAAATCCCCAGGTGAAGCCGTTAAACTGGCTGGACGACCTGGTTCAGGAACAACACAGCGACTACCTCAAGCCTGCTCGGGCCACAGCTCACAGACACCAATGTGGTGGATGGCAAATGGCGTTTATTAGGAAGTTATCTTGCTTTTTATATTTTTTAGCCCACCGCATCATTTCCATCTGCTTATGTCACTGCCACCTGCAGCTGGCATTATAACTATGAGCCTAACAGGTTTAACCATAAGCATAAACAGGGGGTGGGGAGGAAGGAGCCCTATCTCCTTGTACAGCGCACCATCTTCCGGTCAGTTAATCTAAATCTTCCCTTTTCCCGCACCAGGTAAGACAGGGATAGGTTGGATTCAAACCCAGGCAGGGACCTCAGCCAATCATGTGCAATCCATAAAGCAAACATATCACAGGTCAAGGAGCTGGGCGGTGTTAAAACCTCCACCAATCAGTTGTCTAGACACAGGAATTTTGACCCCACTATATAAGAAAGTTCCAGACCATAAAACATGCTGTTTGTTGAGGAGGCTCACTGATTTCCTGTTGTCTGTGTCTCAAATCAATGACCCATAATGCAATAATCTGGTGACCATGATGTGATGACAGCAGCCATCCCGTGAGTAGAATAGGGGGAAACAGAAAAAGCATGCATAAAGAGCCACAAACCAGCAAAAAGCTGGAAATAATTAAGGTGTGCAAGAAGAGTCATCCAAAATATACAGTGTGCAGAGCTGTTTCGCAGTGGAAAACTGCAAAAATACTGATTCTCCTTTGTATATATCCTTTTTAAATAAAAGAAAAACGACACTGAAAATATGGAAGGATGAATCTCACTGGAAGAAAACCCCATCATCAAGGTACTTGAATGGGGGGTAGAATAACAGCTAGCGCTGTTAGCCCTGCTAACGGTCTAAGAACCATGGACTGGATGGTCAAAAGCTGTGGAGGCTTATAGAAGAAGCTCTAAAAGCTGCTATGGACATTATAAAATCATGGAGACTTGTTTCGGATTGGCTGGGGCAGTTAGAAGCCAAGAAATATGCAAAGGTGTCTTCTAAGACACCAGCGCCAGTTGCTCAAAATGGTGGAGAGCACATGTGCCGGAGTCACCCAAGATGGTGGAGCATGCACACCAGAAACTGGAAAACAAGCTGGCAGCCCCGCTGCTGGTGCCTGGAGCTGTGGACTGCCCATACCACCATATCCACACTTGAGATGTGAGAAACCTGGGAAACATTGAGGCCTGGCTGGCATGAGCTTCCCAGGACTGCAGGACATCACATCATGGCAGCAGTGAATAGCACCAGATTCCAGCAGGGCAAAGAGGGGTTGCCTGCTGCCACCACCAGTTGCATTACTTAGCAACAACCACAGGCACTGGATGCATCTGCGTGGCAACTGCCAACCTGCCACTGCCAATGTCGGCTGCCCCTCAAAGCCTTTCTTTGTCTGCAGCCAACAATTCTAAGTTTACCAGGGCTGTGGGAGGAGAACCAGAAGATGGCCCTTGGTCTCCCAATCCGAATCTCCTAAAGAGATCCCAAACAGTATCACAAAAGAGCTCCCATTGCCCATCACCATGAGGCACCAGCTAAAGCTGTGTCACAGCTAATGGCAATGCCAGGGGGAGCCCTTTCCAGCAGCACATACCCTCTCAGCCTGCCCTCTACAAAAGCGGGGTGGGGCAGCAGCAGTGGCAGAGGGTGAATGGCACACAAATAAGCAAAGATGCGGTGTCTGCGATCACATGGTCCTCTGAGCCAATCCCAGCTGCGCAAAAAGCCATGCAAAAAGCTGCTCCCCTACACTGAGACCAAAGATCAGGGTGTTATAAATACATATTGTGATATTGGCTTTTCGCAAGTATTAAGATGACTGTTATATGTATAATGTTAGAATAGCTTTTGCTATGCCTTTTTCTTTTTTCTCCTGCTATTAGCTAAAATATTAGGTGTAGGTCAAGAAGAATTTTGGATGTTAGGGTTAGGTCCTGCCTGAACAAAGCAAGATAACCTCCAGGGAACAGATGATGGGGCCCAGGCTGCTATCAACACTAACCGACTGTAGAAGAAAGAACCCCAGCCCAAATAAAAAGATGATAAAAGGGAAATTAAACCTGAAAAGTACATGCTCTAAAAAGGTGGATCCAAGGAGTGCCCATGCAAAACAGTTCCTGGAAAGGTTTGAATATGCATGAATCCATGTGGCAGGAATGTTATATAAAGGGTGTTCCCAAGACACCAGTGTGCTCTTGGCAGAGAGCCAAGCACCCGGCTGTTTTAACCCTTTGCTTTCTTATCTTTGTCTCCTATTGCCTTTTTGTTTATATTAAACCTTTTAAAATTTGTCAGGTGGGTGAAACTCACTTTTCACAAGGGTATGGGAAAAGCCCCTACAGAGAGCCCAGTGTGTGAAGTACAGCAGCAAAAAATGGTAGAAGAGGTGTGCAGAGGCATGGTCCCGTGGGGACAGTAACAATCAAGACAATCTGAAAAAATGGTGCTGGCCACATGGCCATGGCTCAGGACAGCAGCAGGTGGTGGGCCACTTTCTCAGTGGGTCTGGCGAGACACACAGAACTTTCTGCATGTGGGCAGTGAAGAAGTGACCCAGGGAGGCCAACAGCCCTGGCAGGGGCAGTGTTGCATTCCTGCCTCTGCCACAGAGCAAGTTGTGCCCGGGAAGGCACTGCCACCATTTTGCATGCCAGCAGAGCCCTGCAGGCTGTCCCAGGTCAGCTCCCCACATGCTAAGACTGAGGAGTGGGGCCTGCCTGCAGCCAGCTGCTGCTTTGACTCTGCCAAAGCTCTCATGCCCTACAGACCCTAATGTTCTCATACTTTCAGTCTGTGCATTTCACATCCAACATCCCCATCTAATTTGTGGAAGTCACAATTTTAAGTATGTCACTCAAGAACTGAACTTAATGACTAGCATTCTTTAGGTGCATAAAATGTGAAGAAAAATGTGAACAATCACACTGACAAGTGCCATTTTCAGAACATAAGATAAAGTCTGCAGCACAAAAATGCCAAGCAGAAAGTTTGCAGATATTTTTGGTTGCAATTTTCTCAGTTAGCAAGTATAAGCACAGTGATGAAATCTCAGTTGTGCACACACACACACACACACAGACACACAAACACACACACATGCATATGCACACATGCACCCTCCTCTTCTCAGCTTCCAAGAGAGTGTTGAACAACTAGAGGGGTAAGTTATTTTTCATTATTTCATATTTTTAATTGTTGTTTTATGAAGCTTTTTTCAAAAGCCAAGATGCAAATTTCTTTAAACTACCAGCCCTTGAGGCTTCAGTATATTAGACACAAACAGAGTAACCATATCAAAAAACAAAAAAATAAACCAAAAACTAATAGAAATCTAAACATCTGAATAGTGGTGAGAATGCTTAGAAATAAATCATGTTTTGTTCATAAAAATATCTTAGTGTTATTTAATTGTCAAGGGTATTTATATCAAAATTATATGATGAGCTGGGATGCACTTAGCAGATATTGATCTGATCTGTTCTGGAAAACCCTCCAGAGACAACTCACGGTGATATTTTCCACTCCCCAAGCTTTCTGTGGTGTCTTGGTGATATGCGGAATAAAGACTCCACAACCAGCAAGGTTGTAAAGTAGATGTTTTCAGCACTGGACACACGGGGGATAACTCCACCATAACATGCATGCCAAACAGAGCAGATGATCTGTTTATATACACTCAAGTTCATACGTATTTATGAAAACCTCTATACATATTCATAACTTATGCCCACCTACTCTTGCTTCATATATTAATTAGTTCTCCGTCGGTCTGCACTTGCACACTGTGTCCTGGTGGTCTTGGGCAGGAGGCGCTGGACTCCTCCTCACAGTGTCCGCTGGATCAACTTTGCACAGGCTCTCTTGGTATCTGGCCGTCCCTCAGGGCTTCTGGCCACATTGCAAATTAAAGATCCAGTTTTTACTGGTTTTTAGAGCACTAGTTTCTGCTTTATTAGTCTTCAGTGATAGGCGAAATCCTGTTGTTGCATAGCAAAGGACTATCTGTTCTGAACACACTTGATTACACAGCAAACTATAGTTGCATAAACCTAGCTATAAGTTCCCTATGTAAGTAGTGTGTACGCAAAGACAGGAATATGCAGAAATTGGAGCATACTATAACCGTTTTCTATTCTTATCCAAGAATATTTCATGGTCCTTAGAATTTTTTTCCCTGAATGTTTTTATTGTTCTTAGTCCATTTGTTAGATAGATTTTACAATCCTACAATACTTAGGAAATGAGAAGACAAATATTAAATCTCTGGTGTACCCTACTAACCTTGCAACTCCACCCACCCCCTCCAACATAATATTTTATCATTCACAATCCTGCGGCTTCTAATACTTGCTCTCTTTTCAGCTAATCACCTACCTTTTTCCCCCCTAAAGTTACACAAGTGTTAACTTAAAGCAAATGTTGGAGTCCATTAAGTCCATCCTCCAACTTAAACAGGCACTATACCGACACTGCATCATGTCAGATATGGCTTTAACTGAATCTTAAAAATCACCCTGGACAGAGAATTTGCAGCCTCACTGGATAGCCTCTCTTGGTACCGAATTACTGTTTTGGTGAAAAGAGATTTCCTGCTGGCTAAACTGAAGATCTCTTTAAACTTTCATTATTCCTCACAATGTTTTCTTCTGCCAGTACTTCCTCCTTAGACTCTAATTTCTTCCATTTTTGACAAAATCATTTTCCAGTCTCAAAGCTGTCTCTGTTGTGCCTCAGTGTTCTCATTTATGGCTGTGGATGAAAAAGTTTTCCTATTCCTTTTCTGGCATATTTTAGTGACTGTCCTATGATTTATTTTGAAAGACAAAAACACAAATTTCTTTCCTAATTCTGAAGATAAAAGTAAGTTTTATGATGCTTCTTCAGCAATGCTTATCTATGAGGATTTCTCTAAACACACCCAAACGAAGTATTTAACAGTAAAATGACTTGCACTGTTCTAGAAATCTCTATTACTATCTAGACCATTACCATAGTCTACTACTGTCAAAGGCATTCACTGTTACAGTATGACAAGGCATAAGTATTTCACAAAAATTTGTGACCTTCTAAAGGCCAGTTCTTCGTACCTACAAGGTACATTTCTCCAAGTGTTTATCTCCAGATTAGATGTTTATGAATGAATGCTTTAAATGTCGAGACACCTTACTGCATTTATTTCTAGCGGAGACCAAGAAAGAAGGTTTCAGTGGTGCTAGATTTCCCCTGTTTCATGACTCAGGAATGTTATCTATTACATCTTCCCCCAAACGTTGTTGGTCCTGCTGTCTGTACTCCTTATAGTTTTAGGATTTATTTTATATTATATGATCAAGGATTGATCTCCATGTTAAAACAGTCATTTCACTACTAAATAACCAGACTTTTAATTTTTTTAGCTCAGAACTATTGTTCCTCTTTTCAGTGTTTTAGCTAGAAGGTGAATCACATTTGAGCCTTTGATTATTGAGGAGGTTTAGCTCTAGGGCTGATACTGAAGCTGGTACTTCCTTTTAATGAAGATATATTCCTGCATTAAACTCAGCTGTTTCCATTCCCCAAGGTTCTCTGTTCCTTTCCTTTCATTGCAAAATTTCCTGATTCATTAAAAAAAAAAACACCTGACAGTGCACTTACCTGATAGTCCACATATCAATTGTCCACAGGGCAACCTTAGCAACAATATTAGTGAAATACTGCTCAGAAAGAATCTGCAATTTAAAAAAAAACAAAACAAAAACACAAGAAAAAAAAAACCAAAACGCCCTTGAGTTGGTGGTATCTAGAAGGTGGGTAAGCCACTGGTGGTTGTACCCTCTGGTAATTGGCAGATGACACTAAGCTGAGTGGTGTGGTTGATACACCTGAAGGATGGGATGACACCCAGAGGGAGCTGGACAGTCTCTAGAAGTGGCCCATGGGAATCTCACGAGGTTTAACAAGACCAAGCTGCACCTGGGTTGGGATTACCCGTGGTATCAGCACAGGCTGGGGGATAAACAGATCAAGAGCAGCCTTGCCCAGAAGGACTTGGGGGTGCTGGGGGATGAGAGCCTGGACATGACCCAGCCATGTGCACTCACAGCCCAGAAACCAAACATGTTCTGGGCTGCATCCAAAGCAGCGTGGCCAGCAAGGGAGGGAGGAGACTCTGTCTCCTCTGCTCTGGTGAGACTCCACCTGCAGTGCTGCACCCAGCTCTGGGGTCCCCAGCACAGGAAGGACATGTGTTGTAGTTGATAGCCTGAAATGTATCTTTTCCCATCTTTTAGTTGTGATTCTCCCCCCACCCCCAGCTTCTCTTTCTCCTAACTGTTTACCTGGTGTCAAGTTACCATGGTTACTGAAGTTTCTCTCCTCAGCCCCACGGCGAGAGGCCGGATAAAGAGAAGACCCCGCTGGCATTTCCAGCTGCTTGAAGTTTCTTTAGCCCAGGAAAGCACGGGGTTGGGAGAAGAGAACCCTTCTTTCCAACACGGAAGTTTGTAACTTTGTTTTTCCTGTCCCAGAATGCCTCTGAGCTATGGAAGCTGAGAGGCCAGGCTTACCTTGCCTTCCCTTTCTTTCCCCCCTGGGTTGCCAGGAAACCAGCCTCCCCCCCTCTCTGCTCCTCTGCCCCTCTGTGGAGAATACTCCTACACCTTTGTGGGCATTTGAAGAAGTTGGTGTCTGTTATTTCTTATCTTGGTGTGTGTAACCTTGATTTGTAGAAAGTTTGTAAGATGTACTAACTGAGAAAAATAATTGGTTTTTTCTCTGATGTTCCCTCCCTCCGAGAAACCCTGTTAAAAGAGACCTCCCAGACCCCAAATCCTTTGTCTCTCATCCTTTGGATTCCCCTTCACAGAAATAAACTGTGGAATGCAAACCAGAGAGAGAGTCCCCCCCTGATTTCTTTACTCGCTCTATAGACTTGAATTCTTGAAGAAAATCAGTGAATCTCACAAACATATGCTGGCTCGAAACTCGAGTGAAGAGAAACCTCATCACTGAGCTAGCCGGGCCACACTCGAGAAGATCGAGTCAGACATGGACCTGTTGGAGCAAGTCCAGAGAGGGCCAACAAGTTGATTAGAGAGATGGAGCACCTCTCCTATGAGAAACATCAAAGAACTGAGATTGTTCAGTCTGGAAAAGAAAAGGCTATGACTTTTGGGGCTGACATAATTGTGGCCTTCCAGTACATGAAGGGAAACTGCAAGAAACATGGAAAAGAACTTTTTGCAAGGGCAAGTAGTGACAGGAAAAGGAGAAAACGTGTGAAGATTTTCTTCTTCCTAAATCTTCCTAAATCTTCCTAAAAGATTTTCTTCTAACCTAAACCTACTTTCTTTACCTTTACTGAGAGGGGTGGTGAGGCTTCCCCATTCCTGGAAGTGTTCAAGGCCAGGTTGGATGAAACTATAAGCAAACAGGCCTAGTGAAAGGTGTTCCTGCTCAAGGAAGGTGTTTGGAACTGTATGATCTTTAAAGGACCCTTCCAACCCAACCTGTTCTCTGATTGTGGTGAGGTAGTGGTATTGAACATTAGGCTTGGTGTCTTGTAACTGATACTAAACCTATAAAGCAAGTTATGTGTGACTATGTGACTTTCAATAAATTCATACTTTAAAATAAAGCTCAATTTCACAAACAGTGCTGTATGAATATGTAATGTGATTGAACTTGATGAATAAAAACTCTAACCATAGAACTGCTGAAATGAAAGTATGAGGGAACTTTATTTAAAAACATTTGTATTCATAAAATGTACATATTAAGCCTTATAATAACATCTGAATCTGGAATGTGAACAACTGAGACAAATGTGGGGTCAATACTCTTCCAAGTGTAATGTATTTACAGTATGAATACAATCCATAGAGATAGAGAAGGTTTAGGGATAGAACTTAAAAAAATATTTTGAGTCATGTACTTCTACAGTTCAATAGGGTTTTTTAAGTTCTCTGGAAATTTTCTGATGCAAATAGTTAAAATATGTTCCCTTAATTTGATTAGTGATTTAGTCTGCAGGTTCTGAAAATCTGAAACAGTACTTGATTAAGAAACAGACTCTTTTTCCTTTATTTGGAGATAAACTTTATCATTGAAGAATTTAGCTTTCTCTTCTTTCAGCAGTTATCCTGAAAGCTGACATTCTTTCAAACACTAAATTACTAAAAATACGTATTTTCTTAACATAGAAAGGTTAAAATTTTTGGTTGGCAAGAAATTGCTGCCAATGGAAATGTAAAAATAAGCTGGGTTTGTAACAGTTTTTCTAGAATCAATGTGAATTCTCACTTGCAACAATAAATGTGATTTATTTTGTAAAAGATTTTTTTAGATAGGTAAAATACAGGTCCAAAGTAATATAAATTTTTTATGTCATCATCAACATTGCACTTAATTTGTCCAATAAAAATAAACTTGACACAAAGTTTCAAGAATTATATAATGAATAATCTGATCGGTTTTTTTCAGAGCCTTGACTTATTTAGTGTTTAGTAGTTGAATGGTGAAGATTTCACAAGCTCATTGGTCCATTCCAAATTCACTAATCCTGATTCTGTAAAATTCAAGTAAACTCAGATTTCTGAGAGAAGGTGTGGATATCCCATCCCTGGAAGGGTTCAAGACTAGGTTGGATGGGGCTTAAAGTAACCTGGTATAGTGGAAAATGTCCCTGCCAACGAAAGTAGGGGTTGTAACTAGATGATGTTTAAGGTACTTTCCAACCTAAACTATTCAATGATTCTATGATTCTATGTGATTTTGAGCAAAATAAAAATCCTACTAATTTTCTATTGTCCACCAAGTGCCACAGAAATATCAGCTCTTTCGTTTTTGGTGGGTCTCGAGAACATTGAATGTGCATGCTTTTCTCTTTGAATAAAAAGTAAAAATATTTCAATACCATGTTATCCAACAGACTTATTACAGTATTGAAAATAAAATTATTAAAATTGTAAGGAAGAAAGTAACACAGAAAATCATCAGTAAGGAAAAAGAAAATACATTCTCAGGAGTACAACCATGTGATCTTGCTGTCACAAGGCAGAGGTAATATGTACTTTAAATTGGATATCTCTGTATGCCAAGTTTGTGCAGTTAGAAGAAGGATTTCGTTGGTATTGAAAATTCTTTGGTTAGAGGCTTTAATCACTTTTTCTTGTATATTTAAATATTCAGGTGAATTGGTCTTTCACTGCTTGGCATAACACAGACATACAGCACATGTTAGGCATCTAAAATATTAAAAATGAGGAATTCTCCTGGCATCACCTCATCCAACGATAATATTTACTTAGTTTTCACCTTGTGTCAGAATAGAAGATTCCCCAAGAAAAATCTAGCTGACTGGACTGACTTGACAGAATCCTTGTGAAAGTGCTTCAGTTCAGTACCTCTGGGATGACAGTAGGACAGAAATCACAATTTCTGAGGCAGATGGGGGAAGACAGAGGTCATACAAATAATTCTGCTTTATTGTTCATAGTCCATGATTGTTCTAAATAAATGTAGTTCATCTTATTCTATTATCTAACTGCAGCTGTGGGAATATAGGGCTTTCTGTCCAAAGGGATGTCCCAATATTTTCTTAGGATGCTTCTTGGTTCATTTTACAAAGTGTGATTCTTTGCAAAGTGAAGGTAGGGACAAAAAGGTAGTTTACATTCTCATTAATTTCTTTAAAGCTTCCTTTATAAAAAAAAAAAAAAAAATCCAATCTAGTCTGAAAAGTGTTGAGCTAGCAACTCTATAAAGATATAAGATACTAGACAAAAACTCTACCAAAATTTTTAATATAAACTTAGCTGAGAAGAGTTTGCACATAGAATGCCCTGCCTTGTACTGAGAAGATAAAGAAGCAAGTTGTAAACCTTGAATTATAATCACCTTTGAACAATATTAATAAGGTGAAACTTATAACTGCCTATATGCTTTATTATTACTCAGGGTCTGCCGTTGCTGAGGAGCCTCCTTTTTTCAATGAGGACTTGGAAGGCTTCTCCCAGATGACACCTCCGTGTTTATCTCAAGGAAAAGGGGTTCAGCTTTTGCAAAGTGAAATCAGCTAGTCAAACTGACTTGCTTTCATCTTTAGCACAGAAACACCTGGATTTGATAGCTTTCCCTGCCAATCAAGACCATAGTTTGGCCAGAACTAAGACCTAGACTGGGAGGGCTTGATGGCACACCTCTCCTTGCCAGTCAAGGCCACAGCTTGCCCAGAGCTGGAACCCAGACTGGGCAGACTCCCTATCACATCCTTAAAATAAGTCTTCCAGTAATGACTCATAGAACAGCTGGCTTTGTTATTTATCCTTATCTAAATAACTAATGATATATAAATAACTATAACTATATACATATATATATATATAAAACTCCTCTGAAAGTACCATCCACATCCTTGTTACAAACAAACTAATTTTAAACTATTAATGGAAATACCTTTCTGTCTCAGTCACTACAGGTTACATCTTGGTATATAACTAAAAATGACACATTTTTGTGTTTTAAGGGTTTCATAGATGGTTTAAGGTATATATTTGGAGCTTTTGGATTTCTCTTGTGAAGGCTTTTTCACTTGGTTGTGATCTTAGCTTATTATTTGATACATAGATACAATGTTAATAATATTCAGTTCTATTGTAGAATCTCTTTCTAAAGTTATAGTATCAAAAACAAATACAAAATCTGTTGGGTTGTCTGTCTCTATAAATATAGATAATTTGTAGCATTACAGAACAGAGATAACAAAAGTGAGTTATTTCCATTATCTAAGGATACTTATGAAGTTGTTTGTTGAGGCTGGAAGAAATTAAGTTACTCTTATACAGCTATTGTATTATTAGTATGCTTAACAATATCACTTAATGGTAGCAGTGTAAATAATGAACATTTTTCTTTTGTTAAGAGTTTTTAAATTGAGTTAGATTTAGTCAGTGAAAATAAAAAAAAGGAAGATAAGAATTTATAGTATACATGGGCGAATCAACAATTTTGGTTAATTTGAACTTTTTTGGGGGGGGATGGTTATGCATTTTCATTTAATATATTTCTTGCAGTATAAATTATTTTTGTTAATTAGAAGTTCTTGCTAATACTTTCTCATATAGTTTTTGATCTTTTTGTAATCTCAAAATTACTTCAGTTCTGTGATTAACATCTGTATACTTAATTGCAAAAAACTTAACATTAAAAGTCATGGTTATATTTTGGTTTAAAAATAAGAAAACATGCGATTAGTATTTTAAATATGAAAGGTAGCTACGTTTAAGTTTCTCATTTTAGTGGTAATTTTTTTTTCATTAGGAAAATGTAACGTGGAAGTTGTTTTCTAGAAAGAGTGCCTTGAAAAAACATTAGCTAATTTCTACTTGATAGGATATCTTATTAAATAGAATTATTATAGGAGACTCTATTCATAAAAGGCAATATTAAATCAGGGGTTTGGGATAGTGGTAACATAGGCATTATATCAGCACTGACTCTAATTCGTGTAGAAATCGCTATTTCTATAGTAAAGGCAGAAAATTTCTATGAATTAGCTATAGGAAATGACAAGTTTAGCTCACAGCT